CAATGGAATCCAGGACGAGCAGGTTGTTCAAATTACCTTGCAGTGTGAGTAATCGCTGTGTTTGACACATTGACGCGATACGACACAGCAACTAGCCTCATCTTACTTCTCTCTCGTCCTTCATTAAAGCCGATGGACCGATTCGTGGTGTTGTGGCGATCGCCAGTGGTACGGGCGAAGTGAGAGGATACGTCGGTAGTCCCATGCTTGGTGACATGTATATTACAGAGGCCATGGGCAAGGGATCTGTACAGATTGTCAAAAACCATCCATCTTGGCCCCGTCCATACAATGGCATAACATCTATTGTGCACGGTGATGTGGATCGAGACATTGGTGAGGATAGCTTGCTCAGACAAATGTTTCGTTCCAGGCGTATCGACTGACTTGATCAACCTCCTTTGTTCCAGGCCTTTACCTTGCCGAAAGTGAACAGCGATCCTGCGCACTGGCGGCAGCCACTCACATTGACAATATTCTCTGCAAGGCTGCTGGCGGGTACCTTATTGAACGATTGCCCGACGTCGAACAGGAAACAGTTGCAAAGGTTGAAGCCAACCTGGCGCGACTGGTTGAGATGGACGGCGGCGATGCATTACCAACCAACTTGCTGCTGAATGGTGTCACACCAGTTGATATCTGCGAAATCATATTGGACGGCCTCGACATGCAACCATTGCAGCAAATTATGCCTACGTTAAAATGCAAATGCTCGGAGGAGCGACTCATACGGTCACTTCGACTGCTGCCACGCTCCGAAGTCGACGACATTCTCGCCAAGGAGGAAAAGGTGGAGGCACGGTGCGAGTTTTGCTCCAGGATATACCGGCTATCACCCGACCAGGTTCGTGAGAAGCTACAAAATGCATCCGGTGATCCTTCCACCGACGTTGATATATAATTTTTATCTAGTAACCTTAACAGATTACGCGCAAGCGCACTACTTTACTTTCCATCAAACTGCTTCCGATTAATCTTTGGTGGCTTGTCAAAATAATAGCCTAATCCAGACTCTCCCATTTTGAAAGCGTAGCCGGGCCGACTGCCCGTAAAGGAAGCAGAATGTAGGAAGGGCACCGCCATTGATTCCTTGCCTTCTGCGTGCTTTGGCTTACGGTCCTTGTCACTGTCTCGACAGCGCGCCCCGCTATCTTTACGCGAGCTACTGCTGGAATCATCGGAGGAAGTGTTGCTGCGACCGCGGTGCCTCGTCTTTCGCCGTTGCCGATCCTTGCTCTTGCGCCTCCTTCGTCGCTCGTAGGAAGACTCGTCCGAATCATCATCTTCGTCGTCGTCATCATCGCCACTACGCCTTCGACTGCGCTTTCGATGCTTTCGCCTTTTGGAACGTCGTCTGTCATCGTCATCGGAACTACTTGAATCAGACTCGCTGCTGCTGCTGCTGCTACTTGATCGTCGCTTCTTGTGCTTGCGCTTCTTGCGTTGCTTGCTTGACTTTGACTTGCGTTTCTTCTTGTCAACAGCAGCTACCGCCACATACTCATCTTCAGATGACGACAATGGATCATCCTGCAGTCGTGCCTGCTTGCTGATCGCTCCATCAGCGTCATTCACTCCAAGTCTGCTTCGCTTCTTCGACTGCTTCAACCCCTGATACATTTTCAATGCAAAGTCATCACGGTTTGCTCCATCCGTCAGATTCTGCTGCTTGGCAACGGCCAAGACAGCGTCTCTCGTCTTGTTGGATTGCTCCTCATGCTGAGTATCAACAACTCCAGCGCCTTGTTCGGCATGCGGATCATGTCCAATCGTTTTGGACCAAATGGATGACGTCCGGAGGGAAGCGTCAATCGACATGCGATTGTTGTGCGGCATGCGCGTGCGGCCGGATGATGCTGGCATGGTTATGGTAGTTTCTGATTGTATGAATATATATTGTAGTTGTATTAGCAAGGAGACAGCTTGTCAACGCGTTTATCAAAGCGAACGGAACGAGTGGCGTTGCTACCATGGTCGCGACGAAGCAAGCGTGACAACGCCATGTCACAAGGAATCGTAGCGGTACTCACATTCTGTGGCAACTTCATTCCATCGACTGACTCGACAATGCAAAGCAATCTCTCTCCCTTCGCCGTGGTTGTTTGCGCTTGGCGCAAGTTTGACGTTGTCAGAGCATGGCAGGAGTGTCTTTAGTTGGATTTGACACTAGTGCTGAAAGAAGGAAGCATCAATTGAATTGAAATGTCGAGAATATCTACGTTGAAAATCCATGGGAGATTTATTCTCCTTCTTCAAACATGGATCGTCACGCTTCGTTTACTGCAAGTTTTTAGCTTTCAGGCAATTCATTCAAATACTAGAATTGGCACGGAAGATAGTATACTGCCTGTTTACAGCCAGAGGCCACTTCATAGCGCGCCAAAGTCTAGTATGTTGGACGACCAGATCAAGACGTCGTTGTACCTGTCGCCCGACATTATTGACGCCCTAGACCTTGATGCACTTATGCAACGAATTGCCTCGCACGCCGGTACGAAACGTGGACGTCAAGCGATTCTCTCAACGATAAGTAATGTCGCCAAAGGCGTTGGTCAGCAATCTACTGCTACGGCTTCATCACGTCGACTCTCAGCATCGCCTTCGTCACGACGAAAGGCTTGGTTGACCCACAACGAGGTCGCTCGGGACAATAATCGGCGTGAACAGTTTACCATGCCCGTGGCAGCATCTGCACAAGAAGCACGATGCTTATATGATCTATTGGAGCAGGCCATGTTTGGATTACAAGGCACAAACAACGCCACTGCACCGCCTTTGTACGCGACCGACTCTTACGACGACAGCACTATAGATGATACGGACGATGACGAGTGGCTCGAATACACCAATGTTGATGAGTTTACATTGGAAGATATTATAAAGGCAGAACAAGTTGTCAAAAGACTACTTGGTGTAAGTGTGTGGGCTCGCCAGGAGTCCACCTTGCAGTGGATGCCGCTCCTGGCGGATATTGCTTTGCGCATGGACCACGAGTCGCTACAGGCACTGTATGAGACGCTGCACGACGCGGTGGAAATTGTGCGCGTCCGATCAGTCCTTGATGTGACTGCTAAATCATCCTACTTGTTTCGATTGAAGGAGTCCTCATTTCCTGCCTTGGCCGTGCTAAGAGCCAAGGAGCGCGACATGCAAGCGAAACAAACATTAACGTCCAAAAAAGCAAAGAAAATCCAAATGAACTTGAAGCAGTACGTGAAGCGATTGTTGCCAAGGAACAAGAAATTCAACAATCTATCGCATACTCTATTCTCGCCTTTGCTGACATTGTCAACGACGCGTTCAACTGTGTCGCCGAGCTTGATTCAATATTTGCTAAAGCTGCCTTTGCGCTACGGACGAATGGCCAAATTCCTCTGATTGGTGCAAACGGTTGCGTCAACGTTCGGCAGTTTCTCCATCCCTTGCTCTTGGAATCGCAAACGACACCCGTTCCAGTGGACTTGAAGCTTGCTTGTCGAAACGAAACGCGAGCCCTGGTCATTAGCGGAAGCAACGGAGGAGGCAAGACCTTGTGTATGAAGTCGTTTGGCGTCGTCGCTGTCATGGCACGTTTAGGAGTCGGCATTCCGTCACTAGAACGAGCAGACGTTCCTCGCGTTGATTTTTTTCATGACTTGCTGGTCTCGGTCGGTGATCGGCAAGATGTCATGCAAGGCACTTCGACGTACGCGGCACAACTCGAAACCTATTCCACCTTGATTCAACGAGTGTCAGAGGCCAAAGACGAGGAGTCATTTCTCATTCTCCTCGACGAGCTTGGAAGTGGGACAGAGGGTAATGCTGGCGGCGCGATTGCACAGGCAATTTTGGAGCAGTTACTTGTCAATGCAACGTGCGCTGTTGTTGCCACGACACACTCTTCTCGACTTAAAGCCTTGTCGTTTGAGAATGAGACCTACGAGTGCGCGTCTGTTCTTGCCGTTGACGCGGGCAACTACCCTCAGCCAACATATCAATTACAGTACGGAGTCATCGGCGAGTCGCAGGCCCTGAGCGCAGCGTCACGATGCTTTCCAGCGCTTCCCAATGAAGTGTTAAGCAGAGCATCGGAACTCCTCATTCGTCCCAGGAGTGATCTAAGTAAGGAAAGCGACGACGATGTATCCGCGGATTTTATTAAAACAATGTCAAAGTCATTGACACGAGAAAGGGAGATGGCAGTCGAGACACGAATCGCCACCGAAAAGCTTGTCAGAGATATGGGAACTTGCCAACGAGCCATGCTAACCATGGCTGTGGCATATGAGCGTCATTTTGGTTTGTTGGATGACAGGGTTCGCCACGTTTATAAAATGTTAAAAGCCGACAACACTGGTTCGCTGGAACTGGTTGGCGCTACTCTAGAAGAACTTCAGGTAGCCAGAACCAAAGTGCGACATGCAACCGATTTACTCCGACAGAAAGGACTGAAGATGCTGCCACTAGACTACGACCTGAGCGATGGTGAGTCAGTGGTCATTGTTTGCGAGGGCGAGTGGGATGGTATTATGGCTACAGTGGTGTCGAGTGAAATCCCGGCTGGAAATGACCATGTTTTGGTGGTTCCATCCTTTAACCCCATCGACGGCGCATGGACTGGCTCAACGAGTGTACCTACTGATTCGTTGTCGATACATCCCATTGCCTTTCAGCGTCACCAGCTGGCAATTTGGGACTTTGACAGTGTTTGGTCAATGACCAGTAATCCTGGCAAGGAAAATGATGAGAGCATGCGGGTGACGAGCGTTGTAGATGCCAAACGCCGACTGAATGCAGTTTTATCCTCACTTGAATCAACACTCGACGAGGCAACCGCGTCTCCGAGGCTGAAACAGGGAAGTGGTGCTTACAAATCGTCACGAGAGCGCAAGGCAATGATAAAGGTAAAGGGTAAACGTTAGAGAATTTTGAAAGTCTTCTTGGCTTTCGCTAATTATTGTCACTGGACTACCGGTAGCTGTATGATACTGTAACAATGATCTATGGCTTGTGCAAAAGTGTGAGTCAGCGGGGAATCGAACCCCGGTTTTCTGGACCACAACCAGAGGTCCTAGCCACTAGACGACTGACTCGTGGACCGCTAAAATTGGCCGTCAATTGCTATTTGATCCGCCTTATTTTCTTGTCGCAACAGAACTGAAGGTTCTTGAGGCTTAAATTGATGACTCATAAGATACGATTCAACGTCTATGTTTATCAATCGATCGCGCCGACTCGAAGCCATCGGCACCTCGATCATGATCGCTACTTCAGCAAAGCGGCAAGTCGATGTACCTTTGATTTCTGCGCATTAGAAAAGTATTCATGTATCATGGACAGACTGTCGGATGACGCCGTGATGATGGCAAGAACGGTGCGTGTATCTACAGCTGCGCACAATTAAGAAACATGGCGTCATTACCATCACGAATTATGCACTCACCACACTCATGTCTCACAATTTAATCTCAGCCTCCTCGCCGCAAATTTGGAAATTCAATTTCGTCAAATACTCCTCCTCGATCAGTTATAAAAGATGTGAAGATGCAAACTGTTGTAGCGAGTGTAGTGACTGCACGGGACGCTGCTGCCCCACACCATCAACAACCATCGACGACAGTTCAGACGCCCATCGATCAAACTCTACTCAATCGCGTCAACCGCCGTATAAACAACAGTGACCAAGACGCTGCTAATCACTACATTGATACTCTTCCTGGGTCTTTCCATGTATCTTCCTTATTGTCTAGTGATGCGACTGCTGCTCGAAGCGGCGATTTGACAATTACGACAGTCTTGTCGCCAGCAAATGACCACCGCACCGAGCAACCTGAGTCGAGAACACCTGGCTCGCCTAACTCTACGGGTAACAAGGTGTCAAGCGACATGCTTTTGTCACCATCAGTGGTACGACAAATGGCATCAAGTCGATCCGATGCATCGTCCGCATCACCGACTCCCACACCTCGCTACAGTGTCATGCTACAAGTTCTCAAAAGCATCACGACTGGCACTCAAAACTATGCATCGCATTCAGTTCGAACCAAAGTTGTTGAGAAAATAGCAGCTGCCTTGGGTATGCCTGATTACCACAAGGATTTGTCGACGGCTCTTGTGCACAAGACGCAAGCCTTGCTTGAACTCAACACTGCATCCAACAATTTGCGACCCAGTGCGTATTATTCGGAGCGAAAGTCTAGTCAGCGAAATGCTGCAATGACCGTTCGGGAGCGTTGTGGTCCATTCACGGCGGTAAAGGGATTGCAATGCGATGACGACGGGGTGAAGGGATTGCCTTGCGATAACAACGGGGGGACGTTTTTACAGCAGAGACCAAACTCAACCCTGCCGATCGTAACCCTTACCTCGGTCCACACAAACATCACTCAGGACCAACCAAATCATTTAGAAGACCTAGCAGTTTCACCGGGTACAGTGGACGAGCAAAGACAGCAATCAACGGACTCTCTTAAAGCCCTCGTGACGGCAGACCAAACGATTCGACTGTTGACATCTTGCGACCATGACCCTCCCGGCGGTACAGATGTCTCCGTAGCCAGCACAAGTGTCAAAGAGGCGCAGCTCATTGAGATGCTAGAATCGTCAAGGCTTGAGTTGACAGAAGCTCGACAGATTCATATGAGTGCGGAGGAAGAAATGGCGCGGCAGTTGGAGCAAGCCAATGGTAAAGTGATCGCCGACGCTAGCATGTATGCCGACAAGATAGAAGCAGCCAACAAAATTATTGCGAAACAACTCAATCGCATAGGTTCACTTGAGAGGGAGTCGGAACAGAAACATGATGTTGAATTTAACGTGGGCAAGGAAAGGCACACGCTGCTAACGACATCGATCGCATACGAAGCGCAGCTACTGGAAGCGAAGAACGAGATAACTGAGCTCCAAAACCAGCTAAGAGCAGCTGTTATTGCCGACCGTAATCGGACGCGAGACACAGATTCATTGCGGAACGAGAACGACGAGCTGGAGTCCCATGTCTCGCGTTTAAAATTGGCACTGGAGAACAAGGAAGACCAACTGTCGGCCAAGACAACCGAGATTATTTGCTACAGGAGCTCCTTGGAGGACGCGAAGGCGGAGCTATTTCAGAAAAAACAAGAGCTACATTTTGCGGCTCGATCAAACGAGAAGCTGCAGTCCAAGTTGTCCCACCTCGCCACAAAATTGGCTGCTCAGTCAAAGCGATCCCAAGAAGAAAAGAACCTTTTGACCACAGAGCTTTCGCAACTCAGAGAAGAGGTCGACACGTTAGAAAACCGGCGAACTGATCTTGATAAAATCAATCGCTCCTTGCGTCGAAGTCTGGACGAGTGTGATACACGAATGGCGGACGTACACAATCAGCTCGCTCGTGAACGCGAATCGTCCAAGACAGCACAACAAAAGTTCCAAGCACTCCAAATTGACCTGAATGCTCAGATTTTCAATGCACATACGCAACTCTCGGCCACGAAGGATGAGGGGGAAGAGCTAAAAGCCAATCGCAAGGAGATGCAGACTCATATAGCACTTTTGGAAGCCCACGTAAAAGCGCAAACTGACGAGAATACCGACTTGAAATTCCGATTAGAAACAGCCATGTCCAACTCAAGGAGTGAAACAGAATTACTCAGATCGCGCATTGAAGACGAGCTGAAGAATGGTACAGCTTTGTCGCAGAAACTCCTGAGGGCTAACCAGGAGCTTGCACGATTCAAAGAAGAGATGGACTTGGTCATGCACAACTCCAAAGAAAAAATCAAGCTTCTTATCTCGGAGATGAAGTCCCAATCTGACAAGAATGCTGAAATAGTTGCTGTTAAAGACGAGGAGATCAGTGGCCTTACAAAAATATGCTGCTCACATGAAGACGATCGTTCCAACTCATTGCGCTTGCAGAAGTCTCTGGCAGAGGTGGAAAGCCAAGTGGCGACGCTTGAAAGTAATCTTACGGAAACGAAGCGCACTCATGCACAAGAATTGGACGTATTGATGGGATCTCGCAAGAAAGAAGTCAAACAGCTGCACAATGAACTAAACGCCATGGCAATTTCACTAAAGGTATCCAACGAGGAGCGAGACGCGGCAAAGAAACGATATACAACATTCGAGGCGAATCTTATAATCTCACAACAAAATCGTGAGCGACTTCATACAGAAAACGACGAGCTTCGAGTAGAGTTGCACGCCGCGAAAGATCGAGTTCAGGAATTGGAGTGCCAACTTGATGCACTAGACGTTGACAAAAGCTCTTCAGACGAAAGCAGTGACGGCGAGCTTGGTCTTCTAAGCCGCGGAGCCTTAAAGTCACGTTGTGCTGATCTAATCAGCGATATGCATCGGTTAAAAGGTGACATTGCGGCCAGATCAGATCAGTGCAGCCGTTTAGAAAAGCGGCTCGTTTGCTCTGCTGATGATGTCAGGTTATTGTCTGAGGAACTGAACGAACAAGTGAAAGCCAATGGACAGCTAGAAAATATCATCAGTGATTTTCGCAGCAAAATGGGCGCTGAAACACAGCGCGAGTCGGCGCTTCAAGAAAAGTTGTTGGCCCTGAACGATGCAAAGCAAGATATGGCACTGGAGCTGGAGCAGCGCTCCGCTACGATCCTTGCTTTGCAGCAGGCGGCGCAAGATTTGGAACATCAGATAAAAGAACTTCGCTGCACCCATGAGAACACACAAATGATAGAAGTCCTGCGTGTGGAGAAATTGACAATCGAAAATGCCGACCTGACCGTTAAAGTCAAAACGGTCAGCGAAGAGTTAGACAAAACGCGTTTGCTTCTGACGGAAGCTTCCGACGAGAACCTAAGGAGGAAGACTCAATTGGCCAAAGTTGAAGCTGATCTCACAGCAACTGCGAACCAGCTCGAAGAGTCCAATATGAAACTTAAAGTGCTGCGCGAGAGCGATACCCAAGAATTATCGAAGAATACGATCGACTCCTTAAGGGAGGAGTGTTCACTTCTTCGGACACAGATGAAAGCTTTGAATTTAGAATTGAGTGCTACCAGAACGAATCAGGAAGTGAGGGAGCATGAGTGGAGCGAGAAACTCGCCCTGCAGCGAAATGCTCTTTCTGAGAGCGACGAATCACGCAAATTGTCCGATACGGAACTCAGCCATGCCTTGCAGCTGGTGGCCACCCAAAAAGGCTCAATTCATGCTTTGGAGCAACGACAGGTTGAAGCAGAGCAAGAATTTGAGTCCGCTTCATCTCAAATCACAAAACTGCAAGCTGCTTTAGACCAAGCGAAGAAGTCGAAAAAATCGTCAGAGGAAACTTTTGCGTGGCAGCTAAAGGAGCTCGACGACAAACTGGCAAGCATGGAGACTGAACGCTGTCGCGCAAGGAAGGACTGCAGCGAGCTGAGTGATGAGATACGGGAGGCGCGAAGAAAAGTTACAGAATTAACTAAACAAAATGTTCAGTTGCAGTCTCGCCTGGAATCGACGAGACAAACGCTAGCAAAAACCACAACTGAACTGACCCGAGAGCGAACGAATCACGATGAGTCACGATCAAATGTTGTTTCATTGAAAGCAGACGTAGACGATAGCAAATCTGAAGTTCAGCATTTGACGGCTCGCCTACAGTTGCTGGAATCATCATTGACACGCATCAAGTCTGACAACCTTCGGATAATCGAGACCAATAAGAACACAGAGCTTGAACTCCAGAAAAAGCTGAATACTGTAACGTTAGAAAGTGAAGCCAATTCGCGAAAGATTGAGTCATTGTCAGAGCTCTATCATGCTCAGCGAGAAGCTATACTATCACGGCCACCAACACATCAGACCAAAACAACTCAATGCAGCGAAGGGGCAACCTCAGGTCACTCGATAGACGCGAGCAGACTTATTCAGTCTCTTGATCTCGCCAAGCCTATTCGACAGTCACAGCCTTTTACTCCTCAACAGCTGAATCAGGCACAATATTATCGGACGGTTGACTGTACGCTGACCACTCCTCCGCCCAAGTGCCGGCCTCGATCCAACGTTCCAAGCACGCCCGACATCAGAGATGCCTTGGCAAAAGTAAAGCAACTGTTCCAAGAAGAAGTATTGTCGCCTATCAAGTTGCGAAAGA